AAAGGTCCCCGTCATTTCATTATTTCACCGTTCTGAGCGTCGATTTAATGTCTCCCCGTACTTCATATTTCCACGCAAGAAACAAGGCAAAAGATTATACTCATATCTATCTTTATATATATATATATATATATATATATATATATATATATATATATATATATATATATATATAATATACGTGTATAAAAAATAATTATGTATCCATCCTTACATATTTACTTAGACAGAGAAGATTTATGATTTTCAATGTCTCTCATATATCACAATTACATTCTATTTTCTCGGTACGGGTACCTCGTAAAGCGCCATTTTAGACGCACTTATCATGTGTGAGTTGGCGCTTGCATAAAACTAACTCACATACACCAGAGTATATACCGGCGCGAATGAGTTTATATGTGTTTTTGTGTTTTTATTCCTGACGGTTTGGTTGCAGACCAAGAAAAATTTTACAACATGAATTGTAAAAAAAAAAAAAAAAAAAAAACGACTGCAGATATCATCCGTAAAGAAGAAAACAAAGAAATATTAATAACATTTAATCTAATTTAGCAACAGCTACGAAAATATATCGTTTATACTAAAGTTCACCCAAAATGAGGATATAAAACTACACAAGATGGTAGGTTACTCTTAAAATAGTCGTGAATGAATGAGGAAGTGGTACGAAGGGAAGATTATAAGGATAAGGAGGATAGATAACGAATGACCTTTGATTTGAAGAGGTCGATCCCCTGCCAAAGTAACAAAATAGACTACGACAATCAATCCAATAATTGGACGAATAAATAGCTTTAATTATCTTCCTAGCCTAAAACAAACTATTAAATAAGCGACCTAAACCATTTTTACAACATTAATAAAAAAAATAAAAGTAAAAAATGAAAATAAAAAAACTAGTAAAATAAACTAAAAAAAAAAAATAATCCACTACCGCCAAAATAAGAACCAGAATGGATTACCCACAATGCATCACTCATATATATATATATATATATATATATATATATATATATATATATATATATATAAATAGTCGAGTAAAATCCAACTCTCGGAGCCTGACGATTGCGTCTAGCATGAAACAGCCTGTCACCTCTGAGTGTTGAATTCAATGTCCACTTTTATATTTATATTTACTTACGCCCTATTTCTGATATTGATCACTTTTATACCATAAATATACCACATCTTAAAATTATATTTTCTTCATTTATATATATATATATATATATATATATATATATATATATATATATAAGCGTTTCACCCCAAGCAAGGCAGGAAGCCACTAGGTCGCAAGGGGTTACAGAAGATTTTGAGCAAGATCAGATAGGAGTGATAGATGAAACGATAAGGAGAAGGGTGATGGATAGATCAAGGCAAGTGGAGATGTCGATTGACATTACATTTGAATAGTTGGAGATTATAGCTCTCAGGGAAACAGGAATAGGGAAGGGAATTCCACCGGCGAGAGGTGCGAGATATGAAGCTACTGGAGTAGAAGAGATGGCTACGTTTAGGAGTTTCGAAAAGGGTGAGGGCGCGATGCCAGCCTCGTAGGGCGCTTGAATTCATCAAGTCTGGGAACCAGCGAATGCAGCTCCTCGGAGCAATTGTCATGAAAGTATTTGTAAAACAGACAGAGAGAGGCGACGGTTCGTCTGTAAGAAAGTGACTGTAGACGAGATGCCAGAACAGGGCCAATTATATTGCATATCCGCCTCTGGAGCCTATCAAGAACCCCGAGACAAACAGAAGAGGTTCCAGACCATATATGGCAGCAATACTCCATGCAAGGGCGAATTGTTGATTTGTAGATCTGAAGGATCGATTTCGGGGAGAACAATTTCCTGGCGCGGCACAGGGAGCCAACTTTCCTTGCGTTGGACGAAGCAATTGACTCAATGTATTTGTTCCATCTCAGGTCAGCGGTCAACGTGAGACCGAGCAGCCGCAAAGAGGTTCTCTCGAGACGTTGAGCGTCAGGCATTCTAATGGAGGGCAGGGAAGGATCTCTGTGGTGATTAATAGAGAGCAGTTTTGTTTTTGAAGCATTAAAGTTGACCAGCCAATTCCTGCCCCAGTTCACAATCGATTGGAGGTTCATTTCGAGAAGCACGGCCAGGTTAGGTTTTTGAGGCAGGAGTAAATTGTGGTGTCATCCGCGAGAGATGCCAACTTGGGAATGTATCGCATCAGGAAGGTCATTTATGTAGATAAGGAATAGATTGGGACCTAGGATGGAGTCTTGAGGAACACCTGCGTTCGTGGGATAGGATATATATATATATATATATATATATATATATATATATATATATATATATAGTGCACTATCCTGTCGTAATCAACGTATGAGGGTCAAGCAGCTCAGTTACTAGGAACTGACAGGCAGACAACAGCACATATGATTTGATTATAGCGGTGAAGGATATGTGCAAATTCAATCACACTTTTTGAAGGGTCGAATAGAGAGAACTGGTGCACAAGGTCT